ACATCTATTGGACTGCAGCATCATCAAGCAGTGGACCTGAAAGAGTGGCCAAATGGACGTCTATGCTAAACCATATTCAAAACAAGCACACACATGAAGACAGCAATTTTCCAGCATGTCTACATGGAACAAGCAGAAGTCGAGGCACAAAAAAGTGGATAGCTGCTGGTATGTGGTCTAAATAAGCAATATTTACTTTTATTAAAAACTGTATGCAGACCATGTATTTATTCTATTTTAATTTTTTTTAAAAAATACATATCTTACTATAATAACACTTACAATAATTTAGGAACACTGCCATATCTCAAGTTGGAGAGAGTTCTCTCCAACAACAGAATTTTGAAGGATGTTGCTAAACTAAGTCCACACTACCAGACTTCTTCAATCGAGGTTTTCCACAGTGTAATACTACGGTTTACACCCAAAAATGTGGTATTTTCATTTTTAGGAATGTTGTGCAGGTAATGTTGATATTTTTTTTGTAACAATTTCAATTATACATAAACTGTAGACATTTTATTTTGAAAATGTTTTTTTTTTGTGCTTTCAGACTATACCTGGCTGCACTACATTACAATGAGAATGCCGGGCGTCCTCAAGCCACAACAGCATCTGGTCTACCGGTGTTCAAAGTGACCTTTCCAAAAGCCAAGAAGGGAGAATACCGGGTCAGAGAAGTAAAGACACAAGCAACCTTCAGTATGTATAAAATAACAAAATTAAAACAAATGTTTTTTTTTGGCATTTTTTCTTACAAGGTATTTCAAAAATCAATATTTTAACAATTGAAAAGTAAATAAAATGTTATGTTGCACAGGATATGTGGATGACCTGCTGGACCTCATATTTGATAAGGTCTTCGTTGATCCTGCACCATTTTTGGATGATGTTTTGAGGATTCCAATACCACCAGTATTGTGTGCAGAGTATGACCAGCCAGAGAAGGAGGAGGCCATCTCTAGTAGGCTATCTAGGTTCAATCAATAGGTGGTCGAAAACCTACATAACTGCCCTGTGCATCAGGAAACTCTCTTCGAATCCTCAGGACCACACAGGCTGGAATCACAACTCGAATTTTTCGTCCAAGGAAACCCCAGCACCAACTCACAAAACTCCGATAAGCTAAAAATCTGTAACGTCTAAGACAAACACAAACATATACACACACACAGGCACATTCTCAAAATAAGGTTCAGGAATTTTCCTGTGTTTTTTTTTTCTTTTCATATATATCTTTCATTTGTTGTCTGGAGTTGTAATTCTTGATTTGTAATTGATTTATGGCTAAGTTATTTTTAAGATTAATGTCCTTTTATTAAAATTATTTTATTTTTAATCTAATTTGTATATGTCAGTGTCTTTATACATAATGTAAATAAAGGAATAAAAAAGAATATGCAATTTGTTGTGAAATTATTTGAAGCTAGACTATGTTTTGTTTCCATTATAATTCCCTTTTAATATAACCTTTTAAATATTTGATTAAAAACTCAACGATTTGAACTTCTTTGAAGAATTAGATAAATTTGTATTAAATGTGTTAATCAGTTTAACCCTCAGGTGCTCTTCGTTTCGGAGTCACACTTGTTATCTTCCCGGTCAAAAGTGACCGGACACCTAAAAATGAAACTTTCTCCATCCCAGTAAAACCAATGCAATTTATTTTTGTTCTATAATATTTATTCTTTTTAATTTAGTATTTTGAGACAGTTTGATTGAATTTATTAATATTTATGCAATATTTATGGTTTATTTTTGCCATGGAAAAGTATATATATTTTTCTAAATATATATAATTTTTTTTTTTTAAATTATGAATGCAGTATTTTAGTATACTATAGAGTCTTGGCCTTCAGAAAAAAAATATTTTTTGAAGAAAATTAGCACCATCTAGTTACAGTATAGAGAAAAAGCGTAGAATCATGGTGTAATCACTAGCCTTCGTTTCGGAGTCACACTTGTTATCTTCCCGGTCAAAAGTGACCGGACACCTAAAAATTAAAAGGAATTTAATTTAATAAAAAAAGGAACACCTAAAAGGAAACTTTCTCCATCCCAGTAAAACCAATGCAATTTATTTTTGTTCAGTTATATTTTTTCTTTTTAATTTTGTATTTTGAGCCAATTTGATGTTACTTATTAATATTTATGCAATATTTATGGTCCATTTTTGCTATTGAAAATAATACAAACTTTTTTATATATATACATTTTATTTTTTTATTTTTTTTAAGCAGTATTTTAGGTTAAAATAGAGACTAGGCCTTCCAAAAAAAATTTTTGAAGGCAGATTAGCGCCGTCTGGTAAGAGTATGGAGAGAAAGCGTAGAACCATGTTGTAACCACTAGATGAAATGTACAGTTCTCTATGGAGAGGCATGTGAATTCCCCAGCTGTTCATGGACACGTTTACTTATTTTTTTTTGTTATAGGTGTGTGTGTGTGTGTTAATTTCAGTGTTGAAGTTAGTGTCACCCCTTCACTGCTGTGAGCTTTTCCTGCATTATGACTGAATTATTGAATAGATTTCACATATTCTCACAACATTGCTCTATTACAGACACAGTGGTTCATATGTGTGTGTTTATTTGTGCGTGTGTGCGTCTGTTTGTGAGTGTGGGTGAGTGTCAATATCACAATCTTGATGTTTTAGAGTGTCGCCCCTTCATTGTTGAGCACTTTTTTCTGCATCATGGCCAATTTGTAGATTGCAAGTTGTAGATTGTTGTTTTTGTCAATTTCCCATTCATTTCCTATGGTCGGTCATGTTTGACAGAAGAGCAGAAGTGTATCTCATTTTTTTAGGACCACTTAAAGTGCTTGAATCATGACCTCAATTTTTTTGTGTGTTCACATACATGTTACCATAAAAGTCACGAAGTTTCGTAATTTTCTGATGAAGCAGTGATTTTTTAGAAATTCAAAACTGATTTTGTGTATAAAAGTGTGTGTGTGTGTGTGGGTGGGTGGGTATGTCTGTTTTGCACTCTTGATGTTTTAGAGTGTCACCCCTTCAATGCTGAGCACTTTTTTTCTGCATCGTGGCCGATTTGTAGATTGTACACACAAAAATTCTCAAAGTTTTTGTGTTTTTGTCAATTTCCCATTCATTTCCTATGGTCGGTCATTTTTGACCGAAGAGCACAAGTGTGACTATTTTTTTTACGACCACTTAGCATGCTCGGATCATGACCTCAATTTTTTTGTGTGTTCACATACCCACTGGAATAAAAGTCACCAAGTTTCGTAACATTCCGATGAAGCTGTGATTTTTAACATTTCAAAACATAAATTTTTTCGGTCAGAAATGACCGAAGAGCACCTGAGGGTTAACTCACTGTTGTATTCCACGAAGTCGTATGGGACCATAGTCAGCCCTGTAAATGTTAAAAGCGTTTTGTAAAGAAAACACATTGAAACAAACAGGATCCATTCCGGGATGGTCTACCATACATGATGGAGTGACTTGAAGTTGTTTCATCCGTCTTGTAACCTTCGATACAACAAATAGCGACTATTGTATGTCACGTGTTATTTTTTGCAACAATTAAAATTGTAAATACATTAATACCTTTTCTATCTCTCTGCAGCATATGTTTTCTTGTTCTGTCGCCATCTTCTCACATTTGCCACATAAACACCTGTACGAGAAGTGTAAACAGGTCTCTCGCATTAATTTAATTTTGTTTGTAGGTAGAAAACGATATTAGCGTTATTTATGTTTGTATTTTAAAAAAAATTGCGTGAACGTTTTCACAGTTTGTGTGTGTGTGTGTGGGTGTGGGTGTTGCACATCCATTATAACTAAAAGAGGACGCGATGACAACTCAATGGGTACATAAATGTATCAAATAACCATTCCGAGACGTCCTGGTCCATTCTCGATCGTGTTTCTTCAACCGGAGTCTCTTCGTCATCTGGGTCGGACTCTGGTTCAAACATGTATGGCCGAATGCCATACACAATTGCGGGTCTATCACTCTCGGCCATTATCGTTCTACCGACTGTTTATTGCCATTGGTATGCAAGTTACGCCCACATCCAGCAGCAGGGTGGGGATATGCAACTAATTTGCATTTAAGGTCGTCCGCCTCAAAACAGCTTGTTTCAAAACAGGTCCCAAAAATGACATATTCAAATGGTTATAATAAATAAACGGTGGGGTATTTTGTGCTGAAACTTCACAAATACATTCTGGGGACACCCAAGACCAATACTACATCTTGTAAAAGGGGGCATAATAGGTGCCCTTTAAGTTATTGGCGTCCCACAAAAATAAAGGTTTACAGTAACGGACGCGACTGTTAATACGTTATTCGTAGTGACCCATGATAGATGTATTTAGTGTCTTTCCTAGAATTGGCAGTTTATGACCATAAACCACATGAAGTAGCACTCAGTGGCACATTCCAGATAATAACAGTCATTGAAACAATGTTAAATCAACGTTCAATTGTCAACATTAAGTCATTGAATCAACATTGAACTCTGATGTTGATTCTGCATCATTTTGCACCCTCACAGCAAAAAAATGTCAGGAGATTTGTCACCATGGGTGTTAAAATTATCACTTTCCGGGTGAACATACAGGTCCATCTTTGCTAGTGTTAAAACAACACTGACGATAGTGTTTATTTTTTAAACACTGTGTTAGTGTTTCATTTAATCACTCAAGGTGTTAGAAATTATTACTCTTAAATATACACATTTAACACTTTATGGTGTTTAATCACACAACTCCAGTGTATTTTTTTATGTTGATTTAATGTTTATAATTTATACTTATTTTAAAATGGTAATGCAGATGAAGTTTAAAAAAATTAAACTTTTAAACCCGAAGATATTTTTCCAAAAACCAAGTTACTATGAATTTATTTTAACATTTATTAAAATTAAAATTTTTCAAACATACAATTGAATAAGACAACTCTCCAATGCAATACCATCTTATTATTTAAAAGAATAATTTCACTTTGAAATAAACACATCACTCTTTATTACTCTTAAAAAACTTTATTTCAAAACAATCCAAAAAGTCTGGGATCATAGTAGAATTCTGTTCACTGTAAAGTTAAAAATAAAGGCAAAATGTAAACAGTTGTTTCAAACAAACTATTTTTTTTATTAACGAACAAGCACGTTTACATTATAGGTTAATTTTTTAAATAAACGATGAATGCACAATATATGGATTTCTGTCATCAGAATTATATGATGTGATCAAATGGTGTTTAATACTTAAGTCCTGAACATATCAGTGAATGTGAGTCCTGTGTCAGTGAAGTTAATTCAGTACCTTTGACTTTGCAACAGTACAGCAGTGCTTGAGTCAAAAACATTCAGCAGATGAAAAACAGTAGCAGGATATGAGTGGATCAGCTGTATCCAGTCGCTAACAGTAAAGTTCAGTGCAGTTGTTTCACAGAGCAGAAAAGGTTGTGCAGATCCAACTTTAGTGAAAAATCGTGTAGTACTGGGTACCTAGAACACAAAACCAGATCATTTACACATTTGTGTTTCATAAATACAGCAAGTTTAGGGTGAAAAAAAGTTCAATCATCGACTCAAACAAAAAAACATTTTTGTTTGATTAAGACTTGAATTTACTGATTTCCAAGTAAATCGAAGATTTAATTAATTAAAAAAATGTAATTCTGTCATTAGTTATTCACCCTCATGTTGTTCCAAACCAGTAAGAGTTTTGCTCATCTTCGAAACACTTAAAGGGTTAGTTCACCCAAAAATGAAAATTCTGACTAATTATTTACCCTCATGTTGTTCCAACCCCGTAAGAATTTCCTTCATCTTCAGGACACAAATTAAGATATGTTTGATTAAATCTGAGCTATCTCACTCCTCCATAGCCTTCTAAGGGATTGAAACTTGGCGGCCAAGAAAAGTTATTAAAGACATTGTAAAAATAGACAGAGTGACTACAGTGGCTCAACCTTAAGTTTATCAAGTGACAAAAATACTTTTTGTATGCAAAAAAAAAAAAAACTAAAAATATTAAAATTAACTATTCATTTTCTTCTGCGTGGGCCTGAGCAAGTTAACAGTGTAACAGTGCAGCGCTTCTGTGTTGTACGTCACACACACACACACACACACACACACAACCAGCGTCGGCCAATAGTGAGCCTGTGTGTGACGTACAACACTGAAGCACTGTTACACTACGAGAACCATCTCAAGGCCCACAGAGAAGCATGCATAGTTAAATAAAGTCGTAATTTCTGTTTGTTTTTGGCACACAAAGTATTCTCGTTGCTTGATAAACTTATGATTGCGCTTCTGTAATCACTTGGACTATTTTAACAATATCTTTAATAACTTTCTGGGCTGGCAAGTTTTGATCCCTTAGAAGCCTATGGAGGAGTGAGATAGCTCAGATTTAATCAAAAATATCTTAATTTGTGTTCAGAAGATGAACGAAAGTCTTACAGGGCTGGAACAACATGAAGGTGAGTAAATACTGACAGAATTTACATTTTTGGGTGAACAGTCCCTTTAATGAAGATATTTTTAATGAAATATAAGATCGGTGTTCTCTTCTTGTGGCTTTGTAATGTTGGGGGCAGGTGATGGGCAGAGATTTCTACTTGTCAAATCAAGAAAACCATTGATTAGAAATCTTATTTAAGTATATATATATAAATA